GGGGGTTCTGAAATAAATAGGGAGAGAGGGGGAGGCGGATAGAAGATGGATAGAGGAGAGGATAGGTGGAGAGGAAACAGACAGGTCGAAGAGGCGGGGATGGAGCCAGTAAAGGTGAGTGTAGGTGGGGAGTTAGGGAGGGGATAGGTCAGTCCAGGGAGGACGGACAGGTCAAGGGGGCGGGATGAGGTTGGTCGGTAGGAGATGGAGGTGTGGCTTGAGGTGGGAGGAGGGGATAGGTGGGAGGAAGAACAGGTTAGGGAGGCAGGGACGAGCTGGACTGGTTTTGGGATGCGGTAGGGGGAGGGGAGATTTTGAAACTTGTGAAATCCACATTGATACCATTGGGCTGCAGGGTTCCCAAGCGGAATATGAGTTGCTGTTCCTGCAACCTTTAAGAAAGAAGATGAGTTCTCTTTCCTGCTTCTGCAAATTGGGATTATCTCTTTTGCACTGTGCCTCTTCCCACAGAACTGGTTATAATCCAGTAAGCAGGAATTTAATGAACATCAATTGAATTCTTTTAAGTCTTGCAGAGCTGCTTTGCATGGACAATCAAAGTAAAGCTGCTTAGTAATACTTTACTTTAAACTGTTCTAGCTTTTAATCATTAATAATAAATGGAAGTCACTGGTCTCTGGAATGAATATGCTTTTTCCACAGAAACTTTTACTCTTGTATTTTTATTTGTAAATCTGCTATTGGGAGAGTGGTATCATTGAACTGGGTAGTTAAGCTTCTTGTAACTTCCTGTATCTCCTTGCTCAACTGTGATGTAGTCTTCATTCTGTTCCAAAACTGACACTGCTTCCAACAGCTGCAGTACAAGTTGAGAATGCTGTTAAACTCTATGGAGTTATGTCAGTCGCTGAAGACATCCGTGCATTGCTGGATGCACTAAAACCCAATTTCTGCTCATAGACCAGCTCCTCACTACTGCTGTTGAAGTTAGGATGCTGTGATGTGACCCACTGTCCCTTAATTAGCAAAGAGGATAAAAGCCAGGGTTTCCAAAATCTATCTGCATGTTCTCAATCTAGTGAAACACTGAGGGTGAACGAGGCAGCACACTGCACATTGTAAAAGGACAACAACATAATGTTCTTAAACACTGGCCTTACCTGAAACTTAAGAATGAATAAATATAATTGTCCTGCAATAACGTTAGTTCCAATTCAGCACTATTTAAGTTAAGTTGTAGAATCACAGAGTCATACAGCGCGGAAACAGACCCTTCGGTCCAACCAGCTGACCATAATCTCAACCTAAAATTGTCCCACCTGCCTGTGCTTGGCCCATATCTTTCCAAACATTCTTTATTCATGGACTTATCCAAATGTTGTAACTGTATCTGCATCCATCGCTTCTTCTTAAAGTTCATTCCACGCACAAACCATTGTGTAAAAAAGTATCAGAGATAGTAGGACCTGCAGATGCTGGAAAATCTGAGACAATAAGGTGTAGAGCTGGATGAACACAGCAGGCCAAGCAGGATCATAGGAGCAGGAAGGCTGACGTTTCGGGCCTAGTCCCTTCTTCAGAAATGGGGGAGGGGAAGGGGGTTCTGAAATAAATAGGGAGAGAGGGGGAGGCGGATAGAAGATAGATAGAGGAGAAGATAGGTGGAGAGGAAACAGACAGGTCAAAGACGCAGGGATGGTGCCAGTAAAGGTGAGTGTAGGTGGGGAGGTAGGGAGGGGATAGGTCAGTCCAGGGAGGACAGACAGGTCAAGGGGGCGGGATGAGGCTAGTAGGTAGGAGATGGGGGTGGGGCTTGAGGTGGGAGGAGTGGATAGGTGGGAGAAAAGATGGCCAGGTCAAGGAGGCGGGGACGAGCTTTGATTTTCAGCACTGCCACTTCAGTTATCTCAATACGTTTCAACTCCAGCAACAACTGGTTTACTCTCTAAATGTTTGAGTCAGCCAGCGGGTTGTATTAGCTCTGGATGATGTTGGAATGAGTCGAAAAACACCAGAAGGATTAAATGCCATTGTTCCTTCAATCACCATCACTGTCTGACACTCCTTCATTTTTGAGAATCTCTCTCTGACGTTTTTTTTTGTCTTATTCTCCAGGTGAAACTGGGATGCATTCTCCTCGCATTCGGGTGAAATTCCCTTCTGAAACCTATGCGCTGGCTGGACAGTCACTGAACCTGGAGTGTTTTGCCTTTGGAAAGTGAGTGAATTAAATTTGAATGTGTATAACACTCAAAATTAAGAGTAACTTTGAAAAGAAATTGGACCATCACCAATAAGGACTGGTGTAAGTTATTCATTCTTTTAAGTCTACTCTGGCATTCATTAAGATCATAACTCAACTCCGCACCCCCATATACAGCAATTCCAACACCCCCGCCCACCTCATTGTCCTTGATTATTTCAGTGTGCAAAAAATCTACCCAACTCTGCGCTGAAAATACTGAGAATCCATAGCTCTCTCAGGGGAGAATCCCAAAAATTTCACCCTTCCTTTAAGTGATGATTTTTCTCATTATCTCAGCCCTCACTGGCTAGTCCTCTATCTTCAGATTGTGGTCCCTGTCTTCTATATTCCCAGTCTGGACAAATTACCCCTCTACGTTTTTATATGTTTCAATGAGAATCTTGCTCCTTACCCCGAGAGCATACAGGTTTGGTTCAGACAATCTTGGAGAACAATCCCCTCATCCACAAAGTCAGTTGAGTAAACCTTCTTTGCATTCCCTCTGAAGCAAATTTGCCCTTGGTTAGGCAGGAGACCAGAGCATGTTCACAATGGCATAACCTTCAGGGCTGTGGACAGAGATTAGGTGGATTGGGGTTTCAAAGAATTGCCACAGGACAAGGGGCCTCTTCCCTTTCTGTAGGATTCTAGTGGCCTTAATTTTTCAATCAGGATTAGAAACCTAATCTCAGATTCTGATCAAACAAAGTAATAGACACTTGCCTTTAAACAAATTCTCCATCATGAACATTCTGGCCAAGAGTCTCCTGTTCTGAAGCACCAAAGATGAACGCAGGAATCCAGGAGTAGAGGAGACCAGGAAACCATTTGGCCACTTTTTCAGGAGTAAGTACCATTCTCTGTGATGTAAAGGTCCTCTATCCATTTTGAAATCCACTGAGAGAAGGTACATAAGTACAATAAGGTAAGGTGGATCAGGGGAACCAAAAGAACTGTGAATGCTATAAGTCAAGAACAAAAACAGAAGTTGCTGGAAAAGCTCAGCAGGTCTGGCAGCATCTGTGAAGATGTCCTGAAGAAGGGTCACCGGACCCGAAACGTTAACTCTGATTCTTCTTCACAGATGCTGCCAGACCTGCTGAACTTTTCCAGCAACTTCTGTTGTCATTGTTGTTGAAGGTGGATAAGGGGAGTAGGGTGACAGGGAAGTGAATTGGACGTAAAAGTAAGGATATTATATTTCAGTTATATGAGGCCTTAGTGAGACCACATCTCAAATACTGTGTGCAGTTTTGGTCTCTTTACTTAAGGAAGGATGTAAATGCACTGGAAGTGGAGGCTTTGTAGGTTGATACCTGGAATGAGAGACTGTCTTATAATGATAATTTGGACAGACTTGGCTTGTTTCCAATGGAGTTTAGAAAAGTGAAGGATGACTTGAAATGTATAGCGTCTGGAACAGTCTTGGCAAAGCAGGTGAGGAAAGGATATTTCCTGTTGAGGGTGAGTGCAGAACTATGGGGCTGTTTAAAAATTAGGGTCACCTTGTTAGGGCAGAGATGAGGAGAACCTTTTCTCTCAGGCAGTTATGTGACTTTGGAACTCTGCCTCAGAGGTCAGTGAAGGGAGGCTATGGAATATTTTTAAGACAGAGGTGGATAGATTCTAGCTCTGAAGAAGTGTCACCAGACCCGAAACATTAACTCTGCTTTCTTCCCATGGATGCTGTCAGACCTGCTGAGTTTCTCCAGCAATTTCTGTTTTCACTCGGATAGATTCTTGATTGACAGAGGAATCAGGGGCTGTCAGGTTGAATTTGAATGTGGAAATAGAAACACAAACAGATCAGGCATGACCTTATTGAATGGCGGGGCTGAATGGTCCAGTTTTGCTGCTAATTCATACATTTGTATGTTGACTCATATCCACCATGTCCAGACACAGCAATCAATACATTGATATTTAACCCATTGCTGACCTTTGCTCAGTGATTTTTCTTTAGATACTGTGTATTTTTCCCAAAATTGAATCTTCCTTTGCCCCTCTTTGTGAAGTATGTTCCACTGAGGCCCAGTTTTTGGGTATCACATTTCAGGAAGGATGTGAAGGCATTAGAGAGAGTTTTTTTTTTAAATTCATTCATGGGATGTGAATGTTGCTGGACAGGCCAGCATTAATTTCCACTTAATTGTCCAGGAGGAGGTTGTGGTGAGCTTCCAGCTCAAAACAGTGCGCACTGTAGGGTTCTGGGACACCGGCAAGCTAGGAAGGGATTATAGGATTTTGACCTAGCAACAATAAAGGAACACTGATGTAGTTTTAAGTCAGGATGACGCATGGCCTGGAGGGAAACTTGAAGATAATTTTGTTCCCAGGTATCTGCTACCCCCTCTGTACTAGGTAGTAAAGATCATGGGTTTAGAAGGTGCTGTTGAAGGATCCTTAGTGAGTTACTGCACTGCACCTTGTAGATGGTGCACACTGCTCTGCTGTGCCCAAATGGTGGAGGGAGTGATTGTTGACTGTGTTAGATGGGGTGCCAGTCAAGCAGGCTGCCTCATTCCTGGGTAGTATCAAGCTTCTTGAACATTATTCATAGCATCATAGAATCCCTATTGTGTAAAAGCAGGCCGTTCGGCCTATCGAGTCCACACCGACCCTGCGAAGAGCATCCCACCCAGACCCACGCTCCTACCCTATCCCTGTAATCCTGCATTTCCCATGGCTAATCCACCTATTCTGCACGTCTCTGAACACTATGGCCAATTTAGCATGGCCACTCCATCGAACCTGCACATCTTTGGACTGTGGGAGGAAACCGGAGCACCCAGAGGAAGCCCATGCAGACACAGAGAAAATGTACAAACTCCAAACAGTCATCTGAGGGTGGAATCGAACCTGGGTCCCTGGCCCGGCAAGGCAGCAGTGAGCCACCATGCCACCCGGGAGTTATTATTGGAGCTGCTCTGATCCAGGCAAGTGTGGAATATTCCATCAGATTCCTAAATTTACCTCGTAGATGGTGGACAGGCTTTGGGGACTCAGGAGACAAGTTACTTGCTGCAGAACTCCCAGTGTCTGACCTGCACTTGTAGTCACTGTGTTTATATGGCTAGTCCAGTTCAATTTCTGGTCAGAGGTAACTTCAGGATACAGAGGAGAATGGTTCTAGGAATGTGGAATTTCAATAATAAAGATAGCAAGTCAAACTGCAACAGAGAGGAAATCTGATTGAAAATTCAAAATCATGAGAGATCTGGACAGGGTTAAGTTGGAGATAATGTCCCCACTCATTAAGTTCTAGAACAAGAGGGCACAGATTTAAAGTAATTAGTGAAAGAAGCAAAAGTGACATAAGGAAATATCATTTTCACACAGCAATTGATTTGGATTTGGAATGTGAGATAACAGTGTGGAGCTGGAGGAGCACAGAAGGCCAGGCAGCATCAGAGGAGCAGGAAAGTTAACGTTTTGTGTCAGGACCCTCCTTGAGTTTTCTGAAAAATGGTCCTGACCCAAAAGATCAACTTTTCTGCTCCTCTGATGCTGCCTGGCCTGCTGTGATCCTCCAGCTCCTCACTGTGTTGTCTCTGACCCCAGCATCTACAGTTCTTGCTATCTCTGGATTTGGAATGTCCTGCCTGAGAATGTGGTGAAGGAGGTAGGTTTAACTGAGGTATTCAACAGTGAGCCCCACAATTATTTGAGACAAAACAATGAGCGCAGTAATAGGGAGAAGGCAGGAGAATGGTAATTGGTGAGATACTTATTTAGAGAGCACAGACATGATGGGCCAATAGTGTCCTGCTCTGTAGCAATTCTACAATATGGATAAAACAATTATAAAGCATCAGTCAAATGACTGAACACCATTGTGTTGGGTTACTAAAATCTGTCTGTACTGTCAAAGCTTTCTTGATGAAATGGAGTTGATATATATATTTTATCCTAGTGTAAGGGTGTATTAATATTCATTTGTCTCCCACTTTGCCTGCTTTGGGAAGGATTGACATTCAACACTGTTCGTGGAAGAATATTCTGTTCCTTGCTGATAAAAACAAGAAACCTTCCTCAAATCACCCTTGTCTTTATTGTTCTACTTCGCACAGTTTCAAACTTAATTTCATTCATTGAATGCCAGCCAGCTGTGAAATGGCATTATGTACTAAGAACATCATGCTGAAATCTAGATATAAGGTTTAGATACCTTGGGGGAATACTGTCGAACGTAGTAATTCTGGCATCTAATACAAGCCGTGGGTGAGTTTACATTAACTTAGCTGGAGCGCACTGTTGCCACGGTGACAATTGTTTGATGGTTTTTAAGAAAAGCGGTTGTAATAAATAAAGGCTGTTTGTTTATGACCATTGGTATGTTCTGAGGAAACACATTGATAAACGTGTTTGGGTAAAATGTCCTGGCATATTACTTTTAATGTAATCGTCGTCCATTTAAAATAATCAAGTTAATGGGCTGGGTGACCATAGCATACAAACAATCCTTAATGGGACACATAAAACAGTGCAGTTAAGGTCCTGACAGTAACCACTGGGATCTCTGCTGATCATTTCACAAAATAAGTATGTAAAATTCTTGTGCAGCAACTCAGTGGATGGAATGCTAACCCCCATCAGACACTGATGAGTGTAAGTTCAGTTCCTCCTCCAGAGATCTGAGCATACACCTAAACTGGCATTTTCATTGCAGTACTGAGAGACTGCTGTCCTGTTGGAGGTACTGTCTTTCTCCATAAAATCTCAGATAACATTAACGATCCCATAGTGCTGTTTTAAGTAGAAGCAAGGGACATCTCCCTGTTTTTCTGGGCAGTGCTTGTCCCTCAATCAGTATCAGTAAAGCAGATTATCCAGACATTTGTTGTCTGTGGGAGATTGCTGTGCAGTAACATTTCCTATATTTGAGTATTTTGACAAGTTCTTGATTAGCTGTAAAGCACTTTAGAACACCCTGAGATTGTGAAAGGCGCTATAGAAATGTCATAGAGCTGTGA